CCGGTGAGTAAAAGGAAATGAATGAAGCAGTTTCTGCGTATTTGTTTGTTTATCAAGTGAAAAGCATGGGCCATACTATAAAGGATAAACTGCGCCGACCTTTCTCATTGGTTAATTATTCTAACTTTTTATTATTATTATTATTTCGTTTTTAAACTATTAAGTGGGTGTTTGATACACGCTAAGAAAAAAAATATATGTTTTATAATGTGATGTGATGGAAAATAAGTGATTAAAAAATAAGGAAATTTTTTGAATTTGAATGTAATATTATTTCATTGAAGAATGTGTAGTTAAAAATAAATTTTTATGAAAATGTGTATCAAACAAGGGCTAAAATTAATGGTTAAGGTCCACTATATATAGAAAATATGTAGAATTTACTTTTATTTTTTTTCACAAAATACTTATTTGATGGATGTCTAATTGTCCACGTAAGAATAATAGAAAATATGTAGAATTTTTTAAATTGAATTTATACTATGTCCCAATTTCATAGATATTTTTTGAGAATTAATTTTGTGAAAAGTGATTTTTTTGAAGCATATATGATTAAAAGTATAGAAAATTTTGAAATTTATGTGTAAAATTATTTTATTGAGAGAATATATGATTGAAAATTAATTTGAAAAAAAAATGAATTTTAGAAAATGAGGATCAAATAAGGCTAATATATACTTAAACCTGTAAAGTAGATATATTCATTTGATACCCTGTTTTTATAAAATTCTTTCATAAGGCGAGGAGATGCATGTTTTTCTAGAGTAGCAATAGATACCCACCCCATGTTTTCAAAAAAATTCTTCTATATGAAATGCAGGTGCTTCAATAGTAAAATCGGTAAAATCAACATGTTTACCTATTAAAGTGGGGAATTTTTCAAATGGGTTTGTTGGCACCTCGGGTTCCATGTTGAACTCTTCGTCTGATGAATGTGGTGAAGACCGTCTCACGGTGCTCATGAGTCTTTTGCCCGCTCTTTTAAATCCTGAGATTGTAGAAAAGTAATGAGGTAGAGAAGAATTGAGGAAGAAGAAGAAGAAGAATGAACCAAATTCTATGGTTTCAAAATTTCTTGGTAGAATTTGGAATGAAGTGGATGAAAGTTTGAATTTTGAAAGAATTTGAAGTGTAGAGGTAATGGGTTTTTTATTTTGAGTAATTGATGATTTATGTGGGAAGAATGAAGAAAAGAGATGAGATTTAGGAAGAAAATTGAGAGAAGGATGGAGATGGTATGGGAAGAATGGGTGCGAAAAGTTGATTTTTATCCGTGATTTACCGGATGTCCGGATGATGAACCGGACATCCGGTTGATAGAGCTAGAATTCTCTATCAAACTGGACGAGGTTATTAGACGTCCGATCCCCTCTTTTTTTTTAAATAATAATACATATAGAAGAAAACTTAGTTGAGTACTTCCCATTTATTAATAATACCGGCCAATTGATTTTCTATGTTCACAAATTCTAAAACTATATCTTTATTTTGTATGTGATCTCTTAGGAAGTGAGGTCTAATTTCATTGTGTTTCATTCGAGAGTGCAAAATGGGATTTTTACACAAATTTATGGCACTAGTGTTATCACACATGATAGGTGTTTGATCAAAATATAGATGATAATTACTAAGAGTTTACTTCATCCATAACTTTGGGCACAACAACTCGCGGTCGAGATGTATTCGGTTTTGGTGGTTGACAATGCAACGGAATTTTGTTTCTTGTTAAACCATGACACAAGTGCAAAGCTTAGAAAATAACAAGTTGAGCTAGTGCTTTTGCGCTTGATTGTGCAACCAGCCCAATCAGCATTCGAATAACTAAGAAGATCAATATGAACGCCTTTTGGATACCAAAGCCCTAGGGTTCTAGTTCCACTACGATGTCTAAAAATTTGTTTTACGGCATTAAGATGAGATTTTTTAGGACTTGATTGAAATCTGGCACATAAACATACACTAAACATGATATCAGGTCTACTAGCAGTTAAGTAAGGAAGGGATCCGATCATACCTCGATATTTTGTGACATCCACACAAATACCTCGATCATCCTTGTCTAATTTTACGGATGTACTCATGGGATTGTTCATAGGCTTCAAGTCATCCATTTCAAATCTCTTGAGTATGTCCAAAATATACTTATTTTGATTATGAACATACTATCTCTAGTTTGCTTAATTTGGAAACCAATGAAGAATTTAAGTTCTCCCATCATACTCATTTCAAATTATATACTCATGTATTTTGAGAATTCTTCACAAAGATGGATATTAATAGCACCAAATATAATGTTATCAACATAGATTTGAATAATAATCATGTCATTCTTTTGAGTTTTGACAAATAGGGTAGTATCCGCTTTTCCTATTGAAAAACCATTTGAAAGTAGAAATTTGCTCAATCTTTCATACCAAGCCCTTGGAGCTTATTTTAAACCATAAAGAACTTTTCTATGTTTGAAAGCATAGTTTGGATACTTGTGATCTTTAAAGTTGGGCAGTTGCTTGACAAAATTTTTTTCTTGAATGAAACCATTAAGAAACGCACTTTTGACATCCATTTGATAAAGAGTAAATCCTTTATAACAAGTAAATGTAAGAAGCATGCGAATGAATTCTATTCTAGCAATCAGTGCAAATGTTTTCTCAAAATCAATACCTTCTTCTTGATTGTAACCTTAGGCCACTAATATAGCCTTATTACGCACAATAATTTCATTTCCGTCTCTTTTATTTTGTACCGATGCCAGTTTTATTTTGTGGTCCATTTACTAAATCACAAACATGATTTCTTTCAAATTGGTTTAGTTTTTCTTGCATGGCTAGAATCCAAAACTTTTCAAACTCGACTTCCTTAAAAAAATTTGGTTCAATTTGTGAGATGAAAGCACAACTATATAGGTGATTCCTAATAGAAGCTCTAGTAGTAATACATTTAGATTGATCACCAATAATAAATTCTTTTCGATGAGATAGAACAAAAGAGTGGGATCATTTGACACTTTGGTAAGTTCTACTTCACTTGGTTGAATGTTCACTTCTCTTATGTGTTTTTCGTTTGGATCATCCTTGATTTGGTCTTGAATGTTCATTTGTTCGAAGGGGGTCTCCAATCCTACATTGATAGTAATACCTTTCTCACAATCAAGATAATTAGTTTCATAAAAAATAACGTGCATATATTCTTCAACGACTAGAGTTCTTTTGTTAAAAACTCTATAAGCTTTGCTAGTCGATGAGTAACCTGGAAAGATCCTATATTGGATTTTGAATCCAATTTTCCCAAATTTTCTTTTGTGTTTAAAATAAAGCACTTACATCCAAAAACATTAAAGTAGCCGATGTTTGAAATCCTATTTTTCCAAGCTCATATGAGGTTTTAGTTTTCTTTCAACTAATTAAAACTCTATTTACAATATAGAAAGAGGTGTTGACGGCTTCGGCCTAAAAATATTTTGGCATGCTATTTTCATTTAGTATGATCCTAGCCATTTCTTGCAATATAAGATTTTTCCTTTCTACTACACCATTTTGTTGAGGAGTTCTAGGAGCCAAGAAGTTATGTTCATATCTATTTTCATTGCAAAATTCGTCAAAAGCAAGATTATCAAATTCTCCACCATGATCACTTCTAATAGTTGTAATAGAGTATCTTTTTTCATTTTGAACCTTTTCACAAAAATGTTTGAATGAATTCAGAGAAAATAATTTTTGGAAATTTTTGAAAGAAGATCCATGCTAACATGGCCTAATCTCCTATGCCATAACCAAGTATCCTCATTAAAACTTGATAAATACTTTTCATCATTTTCAAATTCGATATTTATATTATACACATCCTTGTTACAGTTCCCTATAAACATTACCTCTTTTGATGTAGCATCCTTAATAAGGCATTTAGAAGAATCGAATTTAATATGTTAGCCTTTATCTTATAATTGACCAGGCTAAGTAAATTATGTTTGAGGTTATCAACTAATAATACGTTTTCAATAGAAGGAGAAGAATGATTACCAATGTTTCCAATTCCAATAATTTTTACTTTTCCATTATCTCCGAATGTGACATGATCTCTATCCTTTACTTTGAAATTTGATAGTAACGTTCTATCTCGAGTCATGTATTTTGAGCATCTGCTATCCAAAAACCATTTGCTCTTCATCTTCTTTGGTTCCTACAAAAATAATTCAATTTTTGATCTTTGGTATCCATTCAAGTTTGGGTCCTTGGTAGTTAATTTTTGTAGATTCCCGAATCCATTTA